ACCCCATCCCAGGATAGCTGCCCACCCCCAGCCCTCTGCCCCACCAATACAGGAGAAGCGACTGGCCCATTTTAGAGCTCAGCAGACTGAGGCCCGGAGATGGGGAGGGCTGCTCCACAGCCAGAGGGGGTCAGTCCAGGCAGAACCGGGCCAGAACCCGCTGGCCGAGTCCCAGGAGAGCTCCACCCCCTCTCCTTTCCTGTTTGCTCTGACGCTGCAGCCTCCTCTGTTCCCCGGTCCCCCGCAGGTCCTTCTGTCTGTCCCTCACTCTGCTGTCTCCCTGACCCTCCTTCCCCTCTCTCCCGCTGCCTCTTTCCTGTGTACCTGCCTCTCCTCTCCCTGTCTCCCTGCCGGCCCCCATCTGCCTTCCTGCACTCACCCTCCCCCTCCCCCCGCCAGGCGGCTGCAGAGCCTGGAGTCGAAGCTGGCCTCTGTGAGCTTCGCCGGGGACACCGTGTCCTTCGAGGAGGATCGGGTCAACGCCACAGTGTGGAAGCTCCAGCCCACGGCCGGCCTCCAGGACCTGCACATCCACTCCCGGCAGGAGGTCAGGGGTCGGGATCTGGGCCGGCCAGGGCAGGAAGCAGATGTGGGGGCTGTGAGCACTCCCCTCCCCGGCCTCTGGGACCAGATGTGTGCCTAGGAGGAGGGGCTCACCCCAGGGAACACCGTCAGTGGCTACCCCGTGGCGCTCAGGACCCTTCCTGGCACAGTGGTGGGACAGAGGTGGGGAGGGAGCTGCTCCCTGCACCAGTGGCTCACACCCGTGTGAACAGAACACCAAGCCCAGGATGCCTGTGCACGCCCCCCAGTCTTGAGACTGCCCCTCTCCTGGGCCTGGTTAGCTGGGAGCCGCCCTCACTGCCCCCCGCCCCACCATGCCAGGATGCTGGAGGCAGAATTGGCATCCACAGCCCAGAACACCACGTGATTCTCCTAGGCCTGTTTGCCCTGGGGCCCTGGGCTCTAGCCACAAGGCTCTCCAGCCAGCACTGGTGCCAAGGAAAACAGGGCTGAGGAGGGCGGTCGTGAGTCAGGCATGGCTCCCGAAGGAGGTGGGCTTAGAGTTGTGGGTGTGGGGGAAGTGGAGGGGACCTGGGGGTCACCTCTGGCTGAGCCCTGATGGGACCCTGGTCTGCAGGAAGGACAGAGCGAGATCCTGGAGTACTCGGTGCTGCTGCCCCGAGCTCTCTTCCAGAAGACCAAAGGCCGCAGAGGGGAGGCGGAAAAGAGGCTCCTCCTGGTGGATTTCAGCAGTCAAGCCCTGTTTCAGGTACTGGCCCTCTTCCTCGTGCCCTCCCCTCGGGAAAGCAGTTGGGGAGGAGGGATGGAAGGAAGGCGTGGAGCCAAGCCCCCTCCTCCAGGGGTCAGAGCCTTTCCTTGTAAAGTCAGAAACTGGACTGCAACGTGCAGATCTCCCCAGAAGAGGGTAAACGGTGTTGTTCTCACTACAGTGTAAATGACTACGTGGGCAAGAATTGTTTCCAGAGGGAGACTCAGAGCGCAGAGCCATGTGCTGGGGGGAGGCGGGAGCCTAGGGAGGCTAGGGGACTTCTGGGCCTTTCTTCTCCGTCCTGAGCCCCCTGCCTACTCTCTTCCCCCATCCCGTATATCCAGGACAAGAACTCCAGCCAAGTCTTAGGTGAGAAGGTGTTGGGTATCGTCGTGCAGAACACCAAAGTGGCCAACCTCTTGGAGCCCGTGGTGCTCACCTTCCAGCACCAGCCACAGCCGGTGAGTGGGAGCAGACCAGCCGGGGGATGAGGGGTCCGGGCCTCCTTTCCTGCCCTCTCCCCTGAATCGTTGTCTCTGACAAAAGGATTGGCTGGCAGACGGCACCAGCATGTCAGGTCCAGTGGGGTGGGGGCCTGACACTGCCCTCGTCGGCCTGGACCCTAGAGGAGTGGACATAACAGGACCCACTCTCCTTCCCTCTTGTCCCTACAGAAGAACGTGACTCTACAGTGTGTGTTCTGGGTTGAAGACGCGACATGTGAGTGTGGAGGGGTCTCTGAGCCGGGCAGGTGCCTGGAGGAGAAAGGGGGTCCTGGAGGGTGGAGGAGGTGGGGTTAATCAGGGAGGGCGTCCTGGAGAAAGTGATGGCAGGCTAGGGGTCTACCAGATGGAGCAAAGGCTCAGAAGAGTAACACAGTCATGCATTTGGGGTGCAGTGTGGTACTGGGGGACTGGGCTTGATCAGAGCCCCGTGCTGTCCCCTCCTCAGTGAGCAGCCCGGGGAGCTGGAGCGATGCCGGGTGTGAGACCGTCAGGAGAGAGACCCAGACATCCTGCCTCTGCAACCACCTGACCTACTTTGCAGTGCTGATGGTGAGGGTGCCCTCCTACCCACAGCCACACTGCAGGCCGAGTTCCGGCTGTGTGCCAGCCTCTTTCCACATATGTGTATTCATTCCTCATGACAACCCCCAAGGTGGCTCGTGTCATCCCATTTCATAGATAAGGAAACCGAGGCTCAGAAAGGTTAAGCAATTTACCCAAGGTCACACAGCTAGCAAGTAAAAGAGCTGGCTCTAAAGGCCTTGCTCTTTATTCCCACATTTTGGTGCATGATAAAAATGCAGATTCCTGGGGTGTAGTGGTTAAGTCCAGTGCGTTCCGCTTTGACGGCCCAGGTTCGCAGGTTCAGATCCCAGGCACAGACCTACACCGCTTGTCAGCCATGCTGTGGTGGCGACCCACATATAAAGTAGAGGAAGGCTGGCACAGATGTTAACTCAGGCTAATCTTCCTCAGCAAAAAAAAAGCAGATTCCTGGCCCTAACCCAGGATCCTGATTCCGCAGGTCTGGGGTGGGGCCAGGAGGACGTTTATTACGAGCCCTCCAGGGGATGCCAAGGCCCAGGGTGGAGGCCCTTGTGGTGGACTTCAGTGCCCCCAAGGCCTCAGAAGCTTAGTGTCCTAGGTTCATTCTCCCAGAATCTTAGGACGCCAGCGTCTGAGGGACGGGAGTGGCCTTCCAGCTGTCCCTGGGTGTGGGGAGCTCACGCCCTCACAGGAAACTGACTCCTGTGTTGAATGTTATAGAAAAATAGTGCCAGGACAGGGAAGGGGTTCTCTGCGGGGGCTCCTTGACCCTGGTGGGTGGGGGACCCATTAGAGAACGTGGTGAAAGCCATAGAGCCCCCCCAGAAAAATGCGCTCCTGGGACCACACTCTGCTCAGTTTGGGGGGGCAGTTCATAGACCCCCCAGGCCTTCACCTGGGGCAAACCCTCAGTGCCGAGCTGGGGACACTGAGGCCAGCCCCGGCCCGTGTCTGCGCCCAGGTGGCCTCGGTGGAGGTGGACGCCGCACACAAGCACTACCTGACTGTCCTGTCCTACGTGGGCTGTGTCATCTCCGCGCTGGCCTGCGTCCTCACCATCGCCGCCTACCTCTGCTCCAGGTGGGCCTGGGGGGGTGGGGGGGAGACCCACAACCAGGGAGACCCACCTGGAGGTCGGCCCCACTGACCCTGATGTGTGTGTGGTTGCGGGAGCCCTGGGGGTGCGGCCAGCCGAGCCTGGGCTGCCTTTCCTCCTCAGGTCTGCGGTGTTTGGGTAACATAGCATTTACAGATTTTATTAACTGCCAACATTCAAAATTGGGAGAGTTGACATAAGAATCTAGATTTCTGCCTTTGGATAATCCGATGTGATTCCACTGGGGGCACATGGTAATATGATGGTGATGATGATAACGGTTGACACTTACCTTGAGCTTCCCGTGTTCCCCGTGTTCTGAGTGCTTGGCGTGCATGAACTTGCTTCATCCTCACAAGGACCCTATGAAAGAGTGCTCAGAGAGGGTAAGAGACTTGCCTGAGGTCACACAGCACGAAGTGGCAGAGGCAGGCTGGCTCCAGGTCCACGGGGCCCCAGTTACCCGGGCCGAGCAGCAGTGGCTGCTGTGGGCAGGTGTATCCTCGAGAGCTGTCTCCAGCCTCCTGGTCTCTGGTGTCTGTTTTGAGGCCTGGCCCCCACAGGCATTGGAGTTTGACGCCCGCCCCCACCCAAAAGAGGCTTCCATCACCCCAGTCGTTGGGGTGCCTCGAAGAAGAAGGAGCCCCACAGGGAGCCTTCGTGGAGTGGAGAATTGCCTTCTCCCACCCTCAGGCCGGCTGTGTGTGGGGGTCTGGATGGTCACTGCTGGGTGACCTGGGTCATTGCCTAAGTTGAGGTCCACCTGCCATCAGGGCCGGGGCCTGTTTGGTGGAGGGGAGACACCCTTCATTCTGCGGGACACCCCGAGTGTGCTCACCGTCCTCCCCTGGGAGGCGAGGAGGGGGAGCCGTGTGCACAAGCAGTTGTGTTGTGGTGCCCACGGCTGTGCACAGGGCGGGCTGGAGTGTGTGATGAGGAGGGACAGCTGGCGGGCTCGGTGGGGGGCTGGGCGCGGGGGCACAAGCCCCCCAACACCTACCCACTGGTCACAAAAGTGCCCAAGGACAGGGGGACTGGAACCCTTAGGGACCAAGCATCTTGTCTGTGCCAGACCCTCTCATCAGTGTAACCTCACCCCAACCCTGTGAGGGGCTGTCCCCCCCTCCACAGACTAGTAAACTGAGGGTGAGGGGGAAGGGGCCAGCCCAAGGTTGCGCCTCGAGTTAGGGGCAGGGCGGGCGTGGGCATCCAGGGCGGTGACGCTGGGGCCTGGGTATTCTGCGCCCTCTGGGACAGGCAGGGGATGGTGCCAGGCTGAGCACGGTGGGGAGCATGGGGGGCCAGGGAGGAAAGGCCGACAGTGCCCTGGACCACGCAGAATCCTGGTGTGGGGTGGGGCTGTGATGTGCACACACAGACCTGCAAACCTGAAGACAGACAGACACACACACCCCACCCTCACAGACACACGGACGCACAGTTGCGCAGACGGACAGCGGACACAGAACATGGGAGGCATGGATTCCCCAAAACAACAACAAATCCCAAGTCTTTCCCTCCGACTTTGGGAGCCTCTGGTTGACTGTAGGGGCTGATTTGTCTTCCTCAGGCCGCTGTTAGATGTGTACCCGGTACCCAAGCCCATGGGTGCTGGGCGCACAGTAGGTGCTCAGGGACAAGTGGGGAATGGCCTGGCTGCAGCCACAGGGGTAGGATAGGGAGTGTGTGTGTATGTGTGTGTGTGTGTGTGTGTGTGTGTGTGTGTGTGTGTGTAGCCTGGGAAGGCTGCCTGGAGGAGGGGGAGGAGCGGGCACCCCCCCCATACTGGCCCCCAGGGTGACCCCCCTCTGCCTCCGCCTCCCCCGAGCAGGAGGAAGCCCCGCGATTACACCATCAAGGTGCACATGAACCTGCTGCTGGCCGTCTTCCTGCTGGACGTGAGCTTCCTGCTCAGCGAGCCGGTGGCCCTGGCGGGCTCTGAGGCCGGCTGCCGGGCCAGCGCCATCTTCCTGCACTTTTCCCTGCTCTCCTGCCTCTCCTGGATGGGCCTCGAGGGCTACAACCTCTACCGACTCGTGGTCGAGGTCTTCGGCACCTACGTCCCCGGCTACCTGCTCAAGCTGAGCGCCGTGGGCTGGGGTAGGTTGGTGGAGGGTGGTGGTGGGCCCCCAGACCTGCCTCTCCCTCTTGGCTTCTGGAAAAACACAGGCACCTGGCTCCGCTTCTCCACCTACCTCTCTGTTCCCTCACTGCCTCCTTCACCCACCCATCCTCAGGGGTTCTTTACCTTCCCTAGGTCCAGGTCCCCTTTAGGAAGGTAAGTGGTGAGCCCTGTCCCCAAGGAACACTTACATATCCTCCACATCACTCACTCCTTTAAAAGGGGGGTTGGCAGACAGAGCCACCAGGTAGGGTTGTGCAGGTTGTGCACTGCTCAAAGGCACCCAGTTGGGGGATGAGTGGGGCTGTAATCCAGTCCTCCACTCACCTAATTCTCTCAGGCTGGCAGTGGTCCTGCCGGTGGATCCCCGTGAACCTCAGGTAACAGATTCCCCATGGCTCTGGCATTTGTTCTTGGCCAAGAACAACCCAATTCACCTATAGCCCAGACCCCTCTTATGTCAGACCTGGAGGCCCGGGGGCACACACCGCAAGTCCTTTTGGACATTGCACAGGCCCACCGACCACATGGCCCTGACACCAACTCGCGGCTCCTCCTGTGTTTCTCACTCCTTCTTGGTTCCCTCCGTTGATTGACACGGAATTCCTTCAGAGTTGGCTCTGTGTTGAGACCCAGGTGTTTGGTGGTGGGAAATCCCCTCCAGGGAGCCCTCAGTCTCCACCTCCTGGAGGCGGTCAAGGCCTAGTGCAGACATCCCCTGAGGGCAGAACCCTGGACATCCCCCCTCGAACTGTCCCCCACCCACCAGTGTCCTGTCTGCTCCTCCCCTCTCTCTTTGTGATGTCCAGCCCCTCCCCAGGGAACTGCAGGCCCTCTCTCCTGAGGGTCCCCAGGATGGCGAGGGGGCAGGGGTGAGGTCAGGGGAGATGGGCTCCCTCTATGGGAAACCCAAACTGAGTGGGGGAGGGGAGGGTCTGAGCTTGGAGGACGTGCCCCAGCTGGGGCTGGGTGGGCTCTGGAAGGAGGTCTCACCAGAGGGCAGGGGACGGGTGGGCCCTTAGGTGGGCCTCAGAGGGTGGGAGATGGAACTCCATGCTTTGCTGCCTGCAGGCTTCCCCATCTTCCTGGTGATGTTGGTGGCACTGGTGGACATGAACAACTATGGCCCCATCATCCTGGCTGTGCACAGGACTCCAGAGAGCGTCATCTACCCTTCCATGTGAGCGGCTGTGTGCAGTGGGGACAGGAATGTGGGCCTCGGGGTGCAAAGGCCAGAGGGCACCCTGGGCCCAGGCCATGCTGACCAGGAGACTCCTGGGTGCCAGGGCTGCTGGAGGTTTTGGCCTGGCAGTGTCCAGACCACTGGGCTGAGGGTCAGGGAGGGTGAGAAAAGGCCTGGATCTGCCACTCACTCACCAGGCAACCTTGACAGGTCCTCAGTTTCCCCATTTGTGAGTGGGAGTATGGGTTGAGCAGATGAGCCTGCACCATGTTCCTTGGCTGTGCTCTTCTATCTCCCCAGACAGATGGAAAGACAGGCCCAGAGAGGGCTCCACACCACACTGCTCAAAGGCACCCATCTGGGGGATGAGTGGAGCTGAAACCCAGTCATCTTTTACTTACCTAATTGCCCAGGCTGGTGGCAGCCCTGCCTGTGTGTCCCGGTGAAACTAGACTAGAAGCCAGGCTTCCGAGTCCCAGGCTGGGAAGGAATCCTTTCCACTCACTCAGTGTTTTGAAACTTTTCCGTGTTTGAAACTTTGAATCACAATTTACTTGTGATTTTTTGCTTCACCTTTGTACCATCAGTATCATTATTTACTTAATATTTTTCTTTAAATCGTCTGACGTTAATTTAAATGTATTTAAAAAAATTATTATATCAATACTACAAATAGAAAACAAGCATCCCTTGTCATAAACAGTGAGTCATCATGAAAAAAAAAAAACACAGGCA